CACTTTATTTTACTGCAATTGCCTCCTGTTTCAAATCTGTTTTCACTGGAGTCCGATTCGTTTTCATTCCAGGACAATCGAGCAACTGTGGAAAACACAGATCAACAAATTTCAGATCTCGTGACTCCACGAGAACTTCACTTCAAACTCGACTTTCCCGCCACCTTGGCTCTACTTGACTCAGCATACCAAAAACTGCACGAATTGTACAAATCATCTGCCTCAGAACCGATGGATACGGGGGACAAGCAACAACTAAGCAATAAGCAGAACGTGTCTGCTCGTTTGGGGGACAATACACTCAACCGGATTGTCACAGTCGTAACCCGATTCCACCATCGTGTGCGCAATCTGGCTGAACTGGCAGCGTGTCCTCCGACTTTCCCGGAACGCGCAAAGGCCTCCGATTGTGTACGATCAAGGCCGCTTTCAGCACACCCATCACGCACCAGCGAGGCACAATCGAACACATTGCAATGTGCGGCAGAACAGTTAATGACAATGTGCCATGTAGTTCTCAATGGAGCCTGTTACTCGGTGGATGAGTTTTGCAGTATGTTTGAGAAGCTTGGAGTAAGTTTTTTTCCCGGTTCGATCATCATTCTCAGTGTCCTCTGACACAAGAGAGGGATTCGGGATTGTTTGAGACCTGGTGCAGTTAAACGCTTGATACTCAACACAAAAACATGAATGTATATGATATTCGAACATGTGTCACATGAAGAAGAAAGTTTCATCATAATCGATGAAAGGACGAATTATCGACCGAAGTAATGCTAGTTCCTGTGACTGCCAGACTTAGTCTCATTATTAAGGCGTAGATACCCAATGTCACACGAATTCCCTCCACCCCGGTTCACTCTATCTGAGCAGTCAAACTAAANAAGTGCATCAAACTTTGATTTCTTGATGTTTAGGTCGGACGTAAGGAGTAAAGCATTGACATACGATCGATTTCGAGTTCAGATACGGCTGGACGACTGAATAAAACAGATCGACTGGAGTTTATCAGGTACTCTTATCAATCGATTAGTGAGTGTTACAGCCGAAGTCACTGAGCGGTGCGTGTGGAAATTCAGAAACAGAACTCTCGGAGACTTGTAAGCGCTAACGGTTTTTAATAAATAATAATCCTTTGTAAAATCACAATGAAATGAGTGAATTCCATGGCTAAACAATAGACTGTAATATAAAAGTATAGACAGGATTGCATTCAAAATAAGTCCAGTTTGTTGATTATGCCGTTACAGACCTAAGTTTGTAAGTGAGGGACTAAACAGGCAGAGGGGAAGTTCTGCCACAATCTAATTATCTGGGGGGAGCACATGCTGGAAATGCAACCGTGCAACAGCTGTGAACGGACACTTGGTCAGGATGACTTTTAGCCTAGGTTTGGTGACAAAATGTTACCAGGACGGCAATGGATAAAGTAATGTCACGACAACACAAACCACAGTAACCAGTTTGTCGAGATGAACTGTTATTTTAGCTCCAAGGACGGAGAGAAAGGGATATATACGAGTCTATTTCATTTTCAAGAACTCTTCAATTAAATACACGTTTTGGAATTCCACATCCCAAATGTTTTGTCTCATTCTCCCAAATGAAAAAAATATATCAACAAACAAGTCCCACTATTTTCGCTCCCACAGCCTGTCGCAAAGCAAACAAGATGGATTGCAGTTCAACTTCAGCTAGTCCCATTTTGGTCACACTCGAACCACGAAATTCGTTCGGATTTACTTTCTCCTCAAGCCTCACGAGCTGAACAAATGTCAGTGGCAAATAAGCTGCTACACTGGTACAACGCGTGGATACACAGAATCGGCCGATTCACTGAATGGCGCGAACGATGGGCTCATTTGGCAGAGAGTGTGCAGAAATTGAATCGTACGTTTAACGTTTTGCCTGACCAATGCTTGTTTCCCTTTCTCTGACACGCTCATTCACTGTTTCTCATTGCTGCATATTTATCTCGGAGTGATTTGGTATCACTGCCACACTGGTTCGCCGTAAACTTTTACCATAGTCTCCACACAAAGGAAACCAGAAGGACCGATCTAGCCCTGTTGCCGACCCTTCTGCGCATAAATTCTACTACACCACGAGGCTGGATCGGAAACGGAGCGGAATAAATGTCTTCAGTTTTTCATGGTTTAACTCAATGTGTGTCATGGGTGGCAACCTGATTTGGAGATCTCCGGATCAGCCCGATCATTGATTGGATCTGAGAACCGAATTTCGTAAATCATAGTGCTCCTGCGTTTGCCCACTCACTCACACATGCATAACGAAAGGAGCTCAGGATTTAGTTTTGCTGTTCCTTGTCGAATCTAACCGCTTCGTTCTCGATGTCCGATCGCTATTGAAAGCCGGAGACCTATACTCGCAACAAGCTCGCTTAGACGGGTTGTGCTATATCGTGTAAATTCAAAATGAGAAACGGTTTGATCATCTGCTCGGTGACCGAGTGGGTAGTATACTTGCGTTCAACCTGTGAGTTCCTGGGTTCAATCCCCGGTTGGGTCGATGGATTCGCACTGCTGATGAGACCCAACCAGGTCGGAACAGCTGTCCAGTCCTTCCCAGCTTTTCAGTTCACGCCTCATTTACACGACGAATTCATCATAGAAAGGGTTTTTGTCAGGTGCTTCGTTCCACGCCAGAGGTAAACAGGCCATTGTAGTGAACCAGTGGGCCCGTGTCTGTCAACCGATCCGATGGGCGATCCTTGGGTAAGCTGTAGGCTGTTCAAGTTGCAAGGTCGTACATCGATCCTCCCCTCGATGATGTTGTCTCTCTCTCTCTCTCCGAATCTTGACCTATACACACGTGCGGACAAGCACGGAAACATTGACAGGGTTTTACCAACGTGTCTTGTTTGGATTGTATCCCAGCGGCCATAAAAAATTCACGTCTAACCGGATAAAAGTACAGCAAGGACGATTGGTACGTTACATTGTGCTGTAAACGCCAGGGACAGTGATTAGAAACGAGCTAAACCATTTTTCGTTTGCTTCACAGCTATGTCAAAATGATTCAGAATTAACATGCGATTGGTTGGTTCTTGGAACTGTTCTGGGGTGATTTATCTGTGAGCGAGTACACAAACCTGGTTCTTCTGTCATTACGAACCTACCATAGCCCTTCATGGTCCGCGCACTGCTCTGCGGTTCGCATAGACTCGAGAATGCCTGCAAACCCCATTTTGCCACATGGCCCGGTCAGATACCTATTCATCTATCTGTTGTCCATAGCTTTCTGTGAAATCGAGGCGCATTCACGGTACCCGAAGAACGCGCTGAGCANTTGTCGTGGTGCTGAAATGATAACGGAGCATACACGAATGGGCTCCAGAGCACGAAACAAAAACCCCGTGACATGATGAACAAACGTATCGCTCGGTGTCGTGGTTGCGAGGGTGGATAAGCACAAACTTGAAATTTCGCCCCGGTATTTGGATTTCATGTCAGTTGCCATAGCTGTAACGAATAAAACGTCTTGCCTGGCCTGAACGTGGCTCGAACGACCGATAAGACTGTCTGTTCTGTACAACGGCAGACGGTTATGTTTCGCATAGCTAAAAACCAAGGTGCTACTTTCAATGGTGGTTTTGCTTTAATAGACTTGATTCTTAAATTTGAAACCGACACAGGTGGTATGAAATTCTGTCCAGTTTTCCTCGAGGTGACAGACATTCTGATTTTTCATCCGATCTTCATGAACCGGTTTCGAAACCGCCGAATCGTTTAGTCGGCTAGCGAATTTCCATGCCGATGGGCTCTTCATCACCGGGTACACCGATTGCAACTTCATTGATGTTCGATGGAAAACCTCCGGATTTAAAACCACTGTTAAACCATATGATATTATGAATTTATTCATGGGCTCAATCTCTTTTCTGAAATGAACTTTAGAGATGCACATTTACAGGTCATCCGGCATAAATCATCGATGGGAATAACCGCCATAAGTAGACCAATTAAAATTTAATAAATACATATTTCTTTCTTTTGGACTAAGTAACTCAGCTGCGATTTACCAACAGTTGATGAATAACCATGCTGGAGGTATCGCTGTGCGCTTGAAATTTACTAGGATCGCATCACTGTGCATGTTCTAGACAGGCATTCGTTGAGTGAAACTGTTTCAAAACTAGTACTACAAAAATAATGTCGTTAAGTCGCAGAAATACTCCTTTTTCATCCCCATTTTTGAAGGTTTTTGTTATTCGGTAGATGGAAACAGGTTTTAATCGAATAACATACAGCCATTGATCAAACTCGTGCAACACCCTGACTTGCGTCCCATCTGTTCCTCCTCCCAACTCTTAATGTTTCGAGCCTCATTCATCAGATTGAAGATGATATTGCCCCACACTGCAGTGTCAGATGGAGTTCGGTGTCAATACTCTTCACCCATGGCTATCGATATACTGGTATGATATTGGAAATTGAAATGTATTTCTAAAATGAGAGTCATGCTGCACGGGTTCGAACACTGCCTGTACAGTACTTACCTTTGATAAACACGCAATCACCTAAGAACTTGCCAGAGCTACGCATCTGCTACTACGTTGATAGTAATACTCTATCTTCGAAACATTAAACCTTGAGTCATTGATTGATTTCAAACTATCTTCCGATTTAACGGTGATACTGGTCCGCCGTTTGAGATCACGGTGTACAGTCAACCAGCCATATATTCGAGGAGTCTTTATATTGAACTTCAATGAAATCACGGTCAGTGTAACCCACGACG